AATTTTTACAGCGTCTTTTATGTGTACTGGTTTCTATTTGAGTGTATTGAGAATCGGTCAGTCTGAAAAGGCCTTCTAGGGAAGACAATAGGTTTGTTCGTCGAAAATCTAGCGAAATTATCACTCAAGATATCAGGTAGTAAGAAAAAATGCTCCCAAATTCTCTATCATGTAGAGAAACTTGCAAATTTCTGTACGAACGTAAATTTGCAAGTTTTTCTGCCAGCTAGTGTCCACGGTTGCATTTCAAACCAAAGAAATTTAACGAACTTGTTTATTCAAATTATCGTCGACAAAAAATCCAACCATCATATGTTTTTCCTAATTGCAAATTCTTGTTGGCAAAATTTTTTCCGGCTCGAATTTGTAACTTCTCTCCAAGAAATAGTGTTTTTACTCGTGATTTATTTAAATAAAACATGTGAAATTTAGTTGAAACATTTTAGCCGTTTTTAGCCGGTTTTATTTGCCAATTTAGCCGGTTCGTCCAAAAAGTTCTGGCAACACTGATCAAAAGTTCATTTTTATTAGTGAGGTAGTCGCTTTGTTTCTCTTATCTCGCCATTTGACATTCATAATGGAAAAAACTCTCTATGTGAATGCCGAAGTTGCAGGTAGGGTTACCACTGAAAAACTTTCTTTCCTACCAAGCGCTGGTTCAAAACCCTACCGAAATGGCTTATTTCCTACCATTTAAGAAAACGGCGTTTGACGGCAGTAAATAAATTTTTTTGCTGGTTTTTATACTTAAAATAAGATATCCAGGTAAACAAAAAGATCAGAATAATAGCTGGTATATAGATATTAAAGTACATATTATACAGAGCACACAAAACAAAAAAAATGGCGTGAGCTTTTAATCAGACCCGCGTACCGGCATGTAATTCGACCCGCTGAACCCGAATCTGAAGTCCGTTTTGCTCTCAAAATTTTCGGATAAATTGCGAAAAACCGAAAAAATGACAAAATAAAGTTTTAATAAAGCCTTTGGAGTAAATGAAGCGAAAAATCGTAGCAGAAAAATAAAATTCCGACGTAGAATTTTTATACATAACTCATTTGCATACACATATTTATTGTGAAGTATATACAGTCAGCGTCAAAAATATGAATACCCTGACATTTTGACGACTTTCTTGTTTATATTTTCCATACCATTTTTTTTTTATTTTATTATAAAAATGTAATTAATTCTACAGCAAAAACCAGCAGAACCGATTTTTTTTATTTCATAGCTTATTTATATATATAAATATATATTTCAGGCTTTATTAAAACTATAAACTATGCGAACTTTTTGTAATTTTTTCGGTTTTTCGCAAAGCAGACGCCGTTTTTTGTGCTATGTATAATATGTACTTAAATATCTATATACTAACTATTATTCCGATCTTTTTGTTTACTTGGAAGATTAATAAAACTGCATACCCAGAACTTTTCTAAGAAATGGAGTTGAAAAGTTGAAAATTTTGAAAACAATTTTAAGGTAGTTCTTGAATTTTCCCGAGTTATATATGAAATTTAAAAAATTGATTCTGCTGGTTTTGCTGTTGAACTAACTATATTTTTATAAAAAAATAAACACTTGGTATGGAAAATATAAATAAAGAAACCTCTGGGTATTCATGTTTTTGACACTGACTGTATATGTACATAAATAAGTAAGGTAAAAATAAGCCTCACGGTTGGGCTTGCAAAATGTCCGGGTCTAGGAGCCGCCCGGCTGGGGGAAAACTCTGCGTGCTGCGGGTTTGCCATTAACTTCTTCGAGTTGCGGTTAAAAACTTTGAGATCCTCCGATTTACTGAAGAAGTTGTTTTCTTTTTAATTTTCGTGTATGATAAAAAATAACATATTCTGTAAACACGTACATTTGTTATGTAATATGCATTTGGATCGCCCTTCTAGTGCCATTTAAAATATTTCAAAAGCCTTTTCACTGTTGAATCTATTATCGATTCGCCACTGCATGTCAAAGAAAAACAACTGATCTATAAACCTGCCTTTACGTCCATCACTTCACTCACTTGATATCGCTTTAGATACCCAGTGGATACAACTATTTTTAGCGTATATGGAGTTCAGAGAATCGCCGAAGGTAATTGGTGAAATTCTGCCTATACCAGTAAGCAACGAGTTTTTTAAGGTATTTAGCAAACAGTTGGACCCATCCAAGAAACAGAATGAGGGTAAAATTGATTTTGTCCCACTTTTGGAAGCCTACACACAGTGCTGAACAAGTGACACACTACAACAAACCAGAGCTGTGTTCTGTATTATGAGCAAAGAAACCTACCAACATTTTAAGCGTCCTACCATCCTACCAATGAGCAAAAAACCTACCAATTTTGGTAGGAAAAGCCCAAAACGGCAACCCTGGTTGCAGGTAAAGAGAGTAGGAACGAAATAATTTTAAATAAATTTGGTAATTCATTCTAAGTATTTTTAAAAATGTTGCAATTTTTGATCTGTGGTTCTATTATTAATCTCAGTATGACCTTTTATTTTAAAGAATATTTCTTTCAATATTTTTACTTGAGGATAAAGCCCATCCATTGTAATATACATTTTTCCTTGCAAATTACTGAAATATATTAATATTTAGAACTAAAGGAATATAGTATTTTTGCGTAGTATATTTTTTCCAACAGTATAGTCCGAAAAAATAGTACAATACTTTATATTATAGTACGGTTGGCAAGCCTACATCTAACACCTAAATCTGCCAAGCCGGCTCCTAAGTGCAAAAGGCTCCTGGGAGCCACTTTGCCTATCTCTGGTCTAGATAATCATTAATTTATAAACTTTAAAAGATTGCACGAAAATCATACCGTGGATGAATTCGTTAATAGAACCGAAAATGTGTGATATTTTCATAAAATATTTTTCTAACAAATGGTATACTTGTTAGAAAAACCATCGATATTTACAGAAAAAACATCGATAGTGAGGGAAATTGGAAATTATCGATACTATTGGTTGTACCATCAATTGTTTTCCAGCTCTATTTTCTCGGGCCAGAGGGCAACAATTTGAGAAAAGAACAAACAACCCATCGAGAATGCTGACTAAAGAACACGCAAATTTCACAGAATAAATGCAACATTTATGCAGTTTTCGAGCATATAATTTGATCTCTTCGCGCGACTTTGCAAATATACTACGTAATTCTTAATTTTTCGATTTCCAGTTTCTCTTTATAAAACGAATTTTTCGAACGATGGTTAAATCACCCCTTAAATTGGGAGAATTTAGAACATTTATATGCCAGCTATTTCTCTTCTGCGTTAACTGACGCTAATTGGAATTGCCAAGTCCCTAACTAATTAAATACTTGCTTTGAAACGGCGCAGAATAAGAATTTTTAGCAGTTGAACGCAAGATAATATCGCACACCTAGATCTAAAGTGAGCTAACTCAAAATTCAGTTCGGGAAATATAGCTGCTTGTGGATCGCACAGATTTAACGCAATTAATACAAAAGCAGGAATAACAATAGTTTTTTAGTAAGTGTATATAATCAAGAAGAAAACAATATTTGCATTCATTGGAGGTAAGTCCAATGCTTTAATATATGCAAAAAAAAAAATCTTTATTTCGAGTTGATCGTACTTCAGATCTAGGGGTGTGATATGGAAGTTATTGTATTGAATATGACTCTTCATTGTTTTATTGCGACCCGTTTTACTTAAACGTACATAGATATCAAATGATATTTCCACATCCGGAAACTTTTAGTTTTATGGTTTACATGTGAAAAACTATCTACTCCTTCAAAACATGTTTTAAATATTTTTTTGAACTACTTCGACTTTGCAATCGTGATATTTGCAATAAATTTCGGGTTTGCGTGTTGCCTTTTTTTGATTTTCCAGTAAAATATTGTATTGTGGAAATACAATTTTTTGTTGACTTAACAACATTGTAATTTTCAATCTTAAACTAAAATCCAAAGCTTCCTATTATCTCTTAAAGCTTCGAAATCATTTTCATTTACAGTCCAGCTCTACCCTCTAACAAATCTTCGAATTGCTCTTGTGTAAGCAGGCGATATATGCCATCTTTGTTTAAGTAAAATACGGGATCTTTTATCCGACGGATATCGAAGGCTTCGCGCACAAGCTCCCTCTTTTTCAGCTTAAAAGTAGCGGTACGAGGAATATCGTTCATAAGCCTTATAAATAGAGGTCGTGCAAATGCTGGCAAACTGCCCCGAACTCCTGCCGATAGATGTTGCATGTCTACTTTGCGATCGGGATCAACTATAGCCGCCATTCCAGCTTTTCCCTCAACGTAAGGAACCTATGAGGAATTCGGTAAATATTCAATAGCAAAAATAAGCGTAGGATATACCTACATCTACACCGTATACGACGCAATCTTTTAAACCAACAACATTTGTTATGATCGCTTCCACTTCCTGTGTTGCAACATTTTCACCACGCCAACGGAATGTATCGCCCGTTCGGTCTTTGAAATAGAAATATCCCAGAATATCCTCAACCATCATATCTCCAGAGTTGAAATAAATGTCACCCTTACTAAACACATTTCGCAGCAATTTCTTCTCAGATGCCTCCTTATCAGCATACCCATTGAAAGCAGTCACCGCGCGCTTCGGATTCACCTTACCTATAAGCAATCCGGTTTCTCCGGATGGACAGCGTATGCAATACCCCGTAGAACTTCGGATAGGCTCACCCGTTTCTTCATCACATTTAATAATTTGTACAGGGTAAAAGTAACGTGCAATAAGTGGTATAAACCCTACAGCACCCACTTGATTCGTTACATTGGCTGAAAGTTATAAATGACAGAGAAAATGTGTTCTTAATATTTTTAATAAATACTCATGTTTACCGTTTACCTAAATTTGAGTTGCCCTCAGTCGACCCATAGACTTCGCCGATATGCGGAATATTAAATCTGGATACGAATTGCGACCAAATTTGCGGCCGCAGACCATTTCCGAACATTAAGCGAAGACGGTGTTCAGTGTCCTCTGGTTTCGGCGGGGTGGACAGCAGATAACGGCACAACTCGCCAATATACTGAGCCACTGTACAATCATACTTGATGCAATCCTTCCAAAAGTTCGACGCTGAAAACCTCTTACGCATGGAAATGGTACAGCCATTTACCAGACCATTTCCCACTCCAAGAATACCACCTGCACTATGATAAAGAGGCAATGGATTATATATCACATCGCTGGCTCTGAGTGCGAGCAAGTGGTAGATTCCGCTGGCCATAAATAAGTATCTACATACATGTATTCGAATGCATGTATAAATTAATGTACTAGTTCATTTTCTTCGTAGTTTGCTGTAAGAGGATATTTCACCTATGTACGTGCTAATTCACTTACCTTAAGTTATTTATTACCGCGGCCTTTGGTAAACCCGTTGTACCTGATGTATACACATATAGAAGCTTGTCTTTAGGGCTGCAAGCGGCAATGTACGAACGCAAGTCTTCAATAGGTTGCAATTGTAAGGCATTGTAAAGGTCAATTGCACCTGCATTCAATAAGAGCTATTATAATGTTTGTTGAACACCAAAACTCCTAAACTTACCGTTAATAAGGTGAAGGTTATCATTGTCTCGTTGATTTTCATCGCTGAATTGATACACTGGCATGGCTTTGATTTCAATATCATCAGTAATCTCTTCCAAGGCTTCGGTAAGTTCGGTACCTAATATAATGACGCGGGCCTTTGCCACTTTGATGGAATGTAGCAGTGAGTCACGCCGTAAATGAGAGTTTATCAACGCTGTGACTACACCAATCTTCGAGAGGCCGAGCCACAGACACACATACTCTGGTCTAGTTTCCATGATCAGTGCTACGCAATCACCCCGTTTTAATCCACGTGCTTTGAAGTATGAGCCAACTTTGTTCGTGTATTCCTCTACATGCTGAAAGCTTAACGATCGATTATCTATTACCAAGCAGGGCTTTTGCGGGTGCTTTTTCGCACGTTCTTGAAAAATGCGAGCTATCGTCCATTTTTTGCGTTCCATTAGCATTATGAAAATGGTCAATCTGACAAAGCGGTAGCCGGCTCTGAAAAAGGAAAATCGTAAATATGCGTGCAAGGGAATATGGAGAGAGGCAAGGTTCGTTACACTTACACAATATCGCGTTTAATAGTGTTCCCGTAGGCATAGACAATCGTTGGATTCCTAAGCATCAATGCCAAAGCAGCTCCTAGAAAGAGGCATCCTCTCGTACTATCTTTGAATAAGATGAATGCAAGCATTCCAGAGAGGATTATGGCAAGACGGGTAGAGTTACGTTGCCTAAAGTTCAGCTCCAACAAAACCTGCATGGCGGTATTCTGCAAATCTGAAATTAAACGCACAAGAAACACCCATATATGTAATGATTTATTTAGTACAATAGCAGTCTGTGTAGAGCAATTATTGCCAAAAAATCAAGAAGAGGAAATAAACGGTGAAACTAGATCCAGTCATATCCTTAACTTATTATTACTTCCTTCTCGAAATAACAAATTTTTTATTTCTTTGCAAGACAATTATGAATTCCAGCAACGTTTAAAGCAAAGGAGAGCGTAGTTGGGACATTCAGGCTTCCGTACACAGTTACGGTAGATGAGGTTTAATAAACCCCATTGCAAATCAATTACGTTTTTGTTATACAGTAGACATACACAAAATTATACCGAAATAAGCTCTAGTTGGTGCTACATACGTAGGCGGCTTTGGTGTAGTGGTTAGAAGTGCGCGAACTTCCGAGCGTATTTCTCATGAACGAACGAATAAGATCACCCAGGACGGCGTGCGAGAAAAAAAGTATTTTTTTTTGCAATGACGTCATTTTTTCGCCGCCATGTGAATGAAAAGGAACGAAACCATGTGTGTGAAACAACCGATTAAAAAGTCATCAATTATTTGTTTTTTTTCTCAAATGCAATTACAAATATACGGTTGCCGTGCTGGGTGATCTGTTTAGTTGGTTCATGCGTATTTCTGCCATTAAAACATTAAAAACAACTTCTCATAAAAATACAATCGCCATTCAAAGTTGACGTAAAGCTGTAGGGACCACTTTTGTGGCACAAAATCAATAGTGATGTGCTGAGTCGATACTTTTAAGTATTGATCGATACTCGGTAACGATTTAAAAAGTATCCAATACTTTCGATTCTCGTTACCTAAATGTTTATGCTTCCAATAAGAACGCACCAAAGCGGTTCAGGGGAGCCTGGCCTATAAAAATCCGAGTGAAACGTTTTTTGGTAGATGAATCGGACGATGTTATCTTTGTATGCCTGAAAGACGTCATCCGTCAACGAATTTTTCCTGAGTTTTAGATCTACGAAGGTGGAAACTGATAAAATGGTATTTTATTATTGCGATAAGGTCAAGAAGGCGGTGAAAGGGTTGTTTGCAATGGCAATATTTTCGATATGTGGATTCCACATTGTTCAGTATAAATTGATCAACTTTTGGTAAAACATCGTCTTATTTGTATTTGTAGAATTGTGAAACATATTCATACTCGAAATAAAGTCTATGCAGATTTTTTTACAGATCTTCTGTTAAAAATTATGTCAAAAAGCTGCCGAAGGTTTAATGTATGTATAGAATCTGTAGTGGGTACCGAAAAGTAAGTATTGGGTACCGAAATCCTTCTCAAGTATTGGGTACCGGCAAATCAGCACATCACTAAAACTCAAGGCGCACGCGACAACTCGGAGGAGAAGCTCGGCCAAACACTAACATATTGTGTAAGCGCCAATATATTATTAATTTTACACGTAGAGATTGAGGTGTTCACTTAAAACACCGATACCGCGGGTTCAAATACTGCCACATGCAATCCTAACGATAGTACAAATTTCTGCTCTTTAAAACCGAATTTATATCGGGAAGAATTTTAATCACATTATATTTGTAATGTGAGTTTATGACTCCCAAAAAACGTCGTTTTAAAACTATCCAGTAAAAAATATCAGTATCGAATAACAAAAGTATCAATATGGTATCGTATCGTATCCAAATTCGTGCCCCTAACTGCTATTGAAAATAATAAAAATAATTAAACACTGCTACAAACCTGGTGGCTTTTGTGAGATTTCAAACATTTTCAAGACGGTGCTTAAGGAGGCTAAGAGCAATGTGTATACCAAATTTGGTCGAGATCGGTCGAGTAGTTTTTGATATACGCAAATATCATATAAGTGGGTCGTGCCACGTCCGTTTTGCTAAAATTGTAAGATAAACCAATTTTTTGCTTAAGAGCCATTATATATATCATTGTTTAAAGTACAAAACCGCGTATCAACAAAATGCAAAATTGGGTATGTGAGGTTGCATAAATTATTTTCTAGACAGTAAAAACGCTCATATTTCAAAATGGTTCTCTTTTTATAAAGCAGTCGCATTTCTGGCTAGTATATTTCAGGATGAATGGATAAGAATTAAGCCAAGAGCTTGCGTGAGCGAATCAAATTTTTGGTATCAAATGTCAGTTACGCGGTTTTGCAGAATGACGATATGCGGTTTTGTACTTTAAACGACGATATGAATTTTTAGTAAATGTTGATGAGCTCCTTAGCCACTCTGTTCAAAAAATCTGAGTTTCCGGTGCACACACACACTTAAATTCAAGACCGTATTTTTGCTTAAATTTCTTAACTTCGACAATTTTTATACAATTGCATTATTTACATAGGTTAGGTACCACTTTATTCGAAAATAAATTTTCTTTTAGGTAAATACTGCATGTTTGGCAACTTTCTTAGAAATTTTTTTAAATTAAATTTTTTGATTTAACCGATGAAAAATCTTAACAAGGTAAGTCTTCTTACCCATTATTTTAAAAGTCTAGATATGCTCTTTTTAAATCATGTTCAGTTTTTAAATTCGGATGAAAAATAGTTAAATTGTTAATAGGTAAGTGCATCCTTAAAAAAAGAAAAAAGCTGAGGGTTCAGGAACTATATGGAACTTATTTTTGTTTCGGGTGCAGCGTACCTAACCTATGTAAATAATGCAATTGTATAAAAATTGTCGAAGTTAAGAAATTTAAGCAAAAATACGGTCTTGAATTTATATGTGTGTGTGCACCGGAAACTCAGATTTTTTGAACAGAGTTGCTAAGGAGCTCATCAACATTTACTAAAAATTCATATCGTCGTTTAAAGTACAAAACAGCGTATCGTCATTCTGCAAAACCGCGTACTGACATTGGCTGCCAAAAATTGGATTTGCTCACACAAGACCTTGGCTCAATCCTTATCCATTCGTCCTGAAATATACTAGCCAGAAATGTGATTTCTTTAAAAAAAAAAGAGAGCCATTTTGAAATATGAGTGTTTTTACTCTGTAAAAAATTATTTATGCAACCTCACATACGCGGTTTTGCATTTTCTTGAAGCGCGGTTTTGCACTTTGTTGATACGCGGTTTTGTACTTTAAACGACGATATGTATGTATACTACGTGAAGGCATATTTATATTAATAACATCAGATTTTCACAGTTCATTTACTTAATTATAAAAAAATGAGAAGCCAAATGAAAGGGCTTGGCTATCGGATGTGCAATAATGTTTTATTCTTTCGTAGAAGGTTGCCATTTGTACGAGAACTTAGAAAAAGTGAGTTGTTAAATGAAAGGACTTTGCCTCCAGATGTGCAATAAGGTTTAATTTTTGTGAATACAGTTGCCGACTGTCTAAAAAATTATAAGCTCCACTCCGTTTGTTGCATTGAAATCATAAGAGGTCAAATGAAAGGGCTTTTTGCAATAAGGTTTTTCTTTTAAAAGAGGGTTGCCACCTGATTTCTCCAAATGCATATACATATGTACTTATGTACACAATCATATGAAGCCGGCTAGTAATAAATATAAATTAGGGATGCAGAAAAAATATCGATGCATCGGAAACATCAATGTTTGCTATTCGATGCATCGAATAAAACCGATGTTTTGGACCTTCCGATATACATATATCGATATATAGATGTATTTTTTTCGATGCATCGACTTTTGTGTGCAATGTACACTGTACATATTAAAATTATTTTGTATGCTTCCAAACTCTTTGCTGTAGTAATTTTATTATATGTGGAGATTTCACTATTTATGCGCTATTAGAATATACATTCTATTAATAATATGCAAAATGTATGAGTTATTTGCACTAATAAATTGCTAATTTATTAGTATAAACGTTTAGTGCCAAACAATCATCTACAAAATGATATTAATTGATATCATATTGACACTGTAAAATCCTTTGGAAATTTGGCAGACTTTAAACAGCAATTTTCAAAATTCTTTCACATAGCTTATAAACATAGTGAAATTACATGGTGAAATAATATAAAGTGATGTACTCTTCCGCCGCTGTGGGTTCAAACCCTGGTCAAAGCAACATCGCAAAAAATTTATAAAAAAGGGTTTTTCTTAACAGCGGTCTTCCCTCGGCAGGCAATGGAAAACCTACGAGTGTATTTGTGAAATGAAAAACAGCTTCTCATAAAAATACAATCGCCGTTCGGAGTCGGCGAAAACCGTAGGTGCCTCCGCTTTGTGTGACAACATCAAAGGTGCACGCCACAAATCGGAGGAGAAACTCGGCCAAACACTAACATATGTGTAAGCGCCAATGTATTACTATTATTATGTACTCTTATTTCAAAGAAAAAAGTTTGTTATTTTCGCTTTTTTCAATTCTGGCATTGACCTTTGGTTTTGTTGCACACCTCTGCCCGATTTCGCTTTAAGTCCTCATCCTGAGGGACTGAAAACATCAGTACTGCAACGTTATTTGTGCTTTGCAGCGAAAAATTTGAACAAGCGGCAATAATTTCTTGACATTTTTTTTTTATTTTTTTATCAAAAAACTTCATAAGTTATCACTCAAAAGGTGTCAAATGAAAGAAAAAATTATGATAATAAATTACCAAATAAGTGTACCGAAATATAATCTCTTCTCTAGCTGGCACACTTTATATTATTTTACTATGCTTATTGTCGCCACTTCAGCACTTTCCGAAAACTGTTTTCGAAAGATTCTCAAAAGAACAAAAAAACTGAGATTTGTAACTATTTAATCAATAAATACATTTCACCGTGAGGTAATACTTAAACATTTATCGAAGCTCCGAGTGTTTCATTTTCTTGTTGTATATTTGTAATTGAAAGAAACTGTTGGTATTTTCATTCGATGCGTCGAAAATATCGATGTTTTTATACGATATATCGATATGAATCGATGCTATATTTTAATGCATCAAATGGATAAAAACATCGACGTTTTTTTTACTTGCATCCCTAATATAAATAGACTGCTCAAAACTATGCCAGAAGTTGA